TAGAACCACAAAGAGAGGCGCCCAGCACGTCCACCGTCTGCAGACTCAAAGTGCAGACCCGGCACGCCGCCGTCCACGGGCAGCACCGGGTCCTACCCCCGGGCCGCAGGGCTGCTCCGGACGGGAGCCCCGGCCCCACCACGCGGTCCGCCAGAGCCGCGACCGCTGCACTCCCTCGGGCTGGCCCACGGCTGCCCCTGCTCACACGGGAGACCAGGAGGGCCTAAGCACCCTGGGCGTGGGAAATGATGGGGGACGGGGGGGCAGGGTGGAGGCCCTGCGACCATCCTGCTAGATGCCCGTTGGCGGGGGCGCCCAGCACCATCCCTGAGGCGGCGAGCTCACCGGTTGGTGGAGCCGTTGTAGCAGTAGTTGGGCAGGAAGTCATAGTTGAGCTCCCAGAAGACGTGGAGGGTGATTCTGCCGTAGGGCGCCGACACGTTGTGGTTGGCCTCCCGGAACATGGCGTCGAAGCTGTCCAGAGTCAGGTACCTGCTCAGCAGCTTGTGGGTCATGCGGTTGATTTCCAGGAGGCCATCTAGCTCCTATGGGACCAGAGACAGGGTGTGAGGACAGATCCGGGCCTGGTGCGGCAGCCTCCACCCCCTATGCGGGCAGCGGTAGTGGGGCGGGGGTGGACAGAGCAGGGAGTGGGTGGCCAGGGGCTGCGCTGTGGGGCCTGAGGGCTAGGCCAAGAGCACACGGGGGCCTGGCAGGGGACACGCACTTGCTGCCCACACCCCAATTCAGCACGTCCTCTCCACTACTCCTGCAATGCCCTCCTTTCCACAGTTGTACCCCCAGGGCCACTGTCCTTTCTCCACTGCAGTCACCTCCCCATTGTCCACTGCTGGCCTCCAACCCCCTCATGGGGCAGAGAGCACTGGGATGTGTCCACAGCCCCCCACCGGCAGGCTGTGTGTCCTCAGGTGTTGGCCTGAGTCAGCGTCCCTAAGGCACCTGAAGGTGTTCCCAAGCACAGCCTCACCACAGAGAGGCCAGCACGTTCAGAGCCAGCCTCCCAGGCTGTCACACTGACTGTCCTCAAACCTGCCCAGGTCTGCACTAGCCACGCATAGCCACCAGCCACATATGGCAATGAGAATGTGGCTGGTCTGAAGCGAGGTGTGCCATGAGTGAAGACACACACAAGATTTCAGAAACCGAGTGTGAAAGCAAAGAATGTAAGCTACCCACGTCAGTGTGCTTTTACAATGATTGTGTGTTGAACTGTTCATTTGGGGGCATAGTGGGTTAAATAAAATAGATTATTAAAATTAATGTCCCCTATTTCTTTTTCCTTTCCTAATGTGATGTTTAAAACGATCTCCATGGCTGCATTCTACTTGTACTGGGCAGCATGGGTCTCGGTCAAAGCCTCAACCAATGGTTTTCATCTGAATCATGTAAGACCAAGGCCAGGGAAGATACTGTGGCCCAGCCCAAGCCAGGCTGCAGGGAGGGCCCCTGGGGGCCTCTGATCCCAGACAGCCACTGGATCCTGAGGAAGCGCTGGAGGGGCTTGCTCACCCCCACCCCACAGAGATGCTCTCTGCCCAGAGGGAGCCCCAAGGGGACACCCCCACCCCAGAAGCTGCTTCTCAGGAAGGAACAGTCTTCCTGGAGTTCCTGCCTGCGGCCTTTACTCTTGGAAGATTGAAATGGCACCAAATCCTTAATTTGCACTTCCTTCCCTGCTGGCGATTGGACTTTCTGTCCCTGATCACACTGCTCAGACACCCAAGGGACTTTCCCTTCTCCTTTAAAGTCCAATACTTTCACTACAACACTCCTCGGTGTTAGCCACCTTGGGTCAGTTCTCCCAGGCACATGATGTAGGCGTGTGCTCTTTCTCTCTATACATATACAAACACCACACACACACTCCATTTTTCATCTCATCAAAGTTTTCTTGAGATACCATTTTTAATATTTGTTCCACGTTGTTGCTCTGGTCCTCAGGGACGTCTGTGATACGTGTGTTGGATCTTCACTGACCATCTTTTACATGATTTTCTCTCAATCCTTTTTGCCTATCTCTGTTTCTTTTCAATTTTTAAAACTTTCCTCCTTCATTCTTTTGCCGTATTTTTTGCCATAGTAAGGTGTAATGATTTATTCTTTGAAGTCAATTCAGAATTGTGAGAAAGCGCCGAATCCTAACCACTAGACCACCAGGGAACTTCAGAATTGTGAATACTAAGAGCAGATGCTAAAAGAAGATGCCAAGGACAGGCCAAGCTCAGTGAGGGCACACCTTTGATTTCTAGGCAAAAGCTCAATTTACCACAGGGTCAACTTATCAATCAGGACAAAAGTACAAGTAGCTCCAGTCCTTGCAGCCTTTCTCCCCCAAATCTGCGAGGCCCGAGAAAGGGGAGGGCACTTACAACTATTGATGTCAGGTCTTCACTCTCAAATCGCCCAATTGCCAGTTCCAGGGACTTGTACATGGCGGCCGAGACGCGCTGTGTAATCAGACGATTGAGGTCTATGGACCTGCCCAGGAGCTGGGGACATGGAGGGTGGAGGTGGGAACAACAACAACAAAAAAAACAAATGAAAGAAAATACATATTTATCCCCAGAAATCGATTCCAAAGGATAAGACAAATTACACAAAAATATGATCAAATGCCTTACTTTCCTAGAGCTGAAATTTTGCACGTCAAAGCTGTAAAGGACTTTTGTAGCGTCCCTGCACTGAATTTACACTTACACCACTGACAGAAACCCCAAACCTCCCCAGGGACCCTGCAGAACCTGGTTCTGGCAGTTAGCGCCCCCCTGTAAGGGGTTCAGGGCCACCTTCCAGCACGGAGCAGCCTGCATGTGCCTCACCCCACAGGTTACAAGGATGAGGACGAGACATTGCTCCGTCTCTACTACAGAGTCCTAACGTGTGAACCAGAGCATCACTTCGATAACACAAAAATACAGATAAAACTCCGGTGAAAATGTTTCCAAATATGAATTGGTGGTGATCAGTACAAAGAATTACATGAAATTTTCCCCACTGTTTTCTGAATTTTCCTAACTTTTGGTGATGTATAAACATTATTTTTAAAGAAACAAAAAACAAGCACTGTATCTTTATTCTCTGTGATGGCCAAGAAAAGACTCATCTCTGCCTTGCTGAGCTGACCAGTGCCCACAGCTTTCTTTTAAGCTCTGACTTTTGGGCTCTTGGAGAGGAGCCGCCCCAGGCAGTTCCTGGTGTGTGTTGGGTTAGCCAAGAGAAACTGCTTGTCTTCAAAATTTCAGTTCCTTCTAAGGATGTTCCCGCAGCCACATAACATATGACATCTACCAGAACCCGGGGAGTGCCAAGAAAACCCCGCTATGTCCCTGCCGGCCCCGAGCCTCACCGTGCCCAGGAGAGGCCTGGCTCACCTGCACGTGTCTCTGCTTGAGCAGCGTCTCGTAGCGGTTGGACGGCGGGAGATGGATTGTCGCCCCTTGATTCTTGCATTCGGACCGTAACCGTTTATCAAGAAGCAAACTGGCAGGGAAGGAAGACAGGACATTTTTCAACTGCTGTGAATTTTAATGGAAATGTCAGATCAAATCGCCCAAGATCTTACACCACAGACTCACCTTCCCGCCATAACCTTATAATAGGCAAATATCTGGTCCGCCAGCTTATAAACAAATTGGTCAAAGCATAGATTCACCTGGAAAAAAAGAAAGCCTGCATGAAATTAACTCTTTTGATCCAGCTGTGCCACTTTCTAGGTATTTATCCAAAGGAAACGGAAACACTAACTCAAAATGGTATCTGTACCCCAGTGTTCACTGCAGTTATTCACAACAGCCAAGAATATGGAAACCACTTAAGTGGCCACTGATGGATAAATGGATGAAGAATCAGTGGTATGTGTACACACATACACACACACATATTTAATATTCCTCAGCCATAAAAGAGGAGGAAATCCTGCCATTTTTGACAACGTCAATGGACCCTGAGAGTATTACACTAAGTGAAAGGAGTCTGACAGAGAAGGACAAATGCTGCATGATCTCACCTGTGGAATTTAAAAAACCCAAAACTCGTAAATTCGGAGAACAGACTGGTGGGTGCCAGAGGTGGAGCATGGGAGAAAAGGGTGAAGGGCAGGCAAAAGGTATAAATTTCCAGTTATAAGATAAAGAAGTTCTGGGAATGTAAATTTAAAAAAGCAAAAAGCAAAAGCCAAAACACAAAAAAACCCCAACCTTCTGTTATGGCAACTAACAAAGGCTCTTGTGAGAAAAGAGAAACAAGAAACAACCTTACAGCCCAACAGCAGACTAAACACGCACAGTGTGGCCACGAGTGGCCACCAAACCACCACTGACAATTACATCAGAACCTTTCTTACTGATGGTGAAACATGCTCCCATTCTCTCACATACAAAGGAAGACGGGAAAGTCTCTGTTCATCCTACACTGCTTTCATGGGGCTAGTGTGCACATATTCGGGGTCCCCGCCCCGGGGGCAGTGCCAGGCTGCGTTTCCCAGGAGCTGCCACCCGCGGCCTCCCCGGGGGGAGCGCCAGCTGCTCTGGGCTCCAAGCTGGGTCAGGAGATGCTTGGTGGACACAGTCCAGCAACGCCACCCTTAAAATCACATCCTCACTTATAAATGGGGTTCGTACCCCCCAGCTGTGATGAGGACACCGTGTGCTCCGAAGAGAGCTGCCCCAGGACCCCAAGGGTTTCTGCCCCTGGCCCACCCTGCCTCACTCGGGAGCCCGTGACATCTCCCCGAAGCAGCGTTTCCTGTGGTCTCCGTGAGGATGTCAAGGAGGAGACCCAGCTGAATAATGCAATCTGTTGAGGTTAAATTCTCTTGTATCTTTCAAAATTGGGGCAGGTAATCAGGTTTATTTACTCTTAGAGGAGGTGCTGGGGATTGAACCCAGGACCTCGTGCGTGCTAGGCATGTGCTCTATCATTTGTGCTACACCCTCCCCCAAATTCTCTTATATCTTAAGCTAGAAAATAAGGTTTCTCTCCTTTGCTGCCTGTACATAGACTTAATAATTCCATTTATAGGAATGTGTCCTCAGGAAATAATCCAACACAACTGAAATGTTACATGGTAAGGAAGTTCATCAAAGCATTATTTATAGTAAGGAAAAACAAAAAGCTAAAAGGAAGGGGGAGGGTGTAGCTCAGTGGTAAAGTGCATGCCTAGCATGTACAAGGTCCTGGGTTCAATGCCCAGTACCTCCATTTAAGATAAATAAATTAAAACCTAATTCCTCCCCTCCAATAGAAACAATTTAAAAAGCTAAAACAAGAGGAATAAAATAGGGGATGGTTAGGGGTTGGTTCAGAGCCCCCGCTCTAGACTGTGTTCACAATCGAAGACAGGCAAGGATACGCAGTGCTTAGGGTGTGTGTCACGTGAAAAAGGCATCCCCCAGGAGCTGAGGTTGTAAGACCCCCATCATCCTGTGCAGATGCCCAGAAAAAAAGTGCAGATTTCACCCCGAAATGTTTATGTCAAAAGTGCATTCCATCGTCTAAACGTCCTTGTATTATAAAGCCAGTTTGCTCCCTCTAATACTCAGGGGAAAAAGAAACTAAAAAAGTTTGTTAGAGGTGCCAGGGCCTCACCTCTGCCTCGATTTCATCATAGAGGAACTGCTTGTTGAACTTGGTGAGGGCGTAGTGGGCGCTGTCGTTGTACAGGTCCAGCGAGTAGAGGACGTACCTGCAGAGGGACGGGGGAGGGTCAGCCCCACCGCCTTCTCAGCCCCCACGAGATGTATTTTCACTGTTTTCCTCTCGTGAAGAAAAACAGTCTCTTACTCCCAACGCCAGACTCGGTTCCTGGTGGCCCCACCAGGCTGGCCTCCCCTCGGCAGGACACACTGCCTGAGCCAGGCCGCGGGCAACTGGTGGGGCCACCAGGGCCTCCTGTGACTCCATCTTCTCACTTATCACATTTCAAAGACTCTCACCCCAATTTGCAGTATTTCTTATAACCACAAAAATGACTCATTTTCTTATTTTTAAGAACAAACTATCTGACTTAAAAACATATGAAGGTCCTGGGCCCTACAGCTGACCCCAAGCATGGCTGGTGTGGTCAAAAGTTCCCCTCCCCCAGGAGCCCTGCACAGGTAAGGGCTCTCTGAGGGTTCAAGGCACATGAGCAGCGGGCCCAGCGTGACCCCAGGGGTCCGACACAGGCTGACAAGGCCTCTAAGGCTTTGGAAGATGCCAGGGTCACTGCAGAGAGGGAAGGCCACCCTCCTGACGAGCACAGGTAAGGAGACTGGGAGGAGGACCGCTGGCCTGGGCCCCAGTCTGCCCGCCCCACGACATTGCACTTTCTATTACTTTCCCTCCATGGACTTCAGATTTTCGGTCTCTGACCCCTTGCCTGGACCCTGGGCCCCAAACTCTAAACAAAAATGGTTAGTGAACACTTCCCCGCCCAAATTCATGTGGTTCAGAGGCCACACCACCTCTCCACTTGCCAAGTTCCTAAGGCCTCACCAGCACCAGGACATCGTGGACTCAATCCCCTGCATCACTGCTCCTGCCTGAGCACCTGACTTCATTCTGTAGCCAAGACCCCTGGTCCCTGCACTGATCTCGGAAGTCTTACCCCACCAAGTACGACTGCCCAGTACGGCCAGCCCTCCCCCACCTCCCAGTGCCACCAAGGGCCTGGACCACCACAAACGCAAGGCTGGGACGGGCCCCCGGGACGCTCACTCCATCATCGAGGCCTCTTTGGTCTCCAGGATATGGTCTGTCAGGATCCAGGGCATGGACATCTCGATGGGGAACTGGATCCTCCTGCCCATCGTCAGCTCCAGGAAGAACTCTCGGAACCACAGCTGCGAAAGGTCACAGCACTGCTGGAGCGTCTCTTGAGGGATTCAGACGACACCACGTTAGTCTTCCGCAAGCAGAAAAGACTCCACCCGGTGACGCAACGGGGAGGGCCAGGCTCTCAGCCCTGAGCCCGGGGAGCGGACGCGAGCGGGGAATGGCCGCCAGCGCCTCGCACAACGTGTGCCCGTGGGCAAAGCCATCCGGACGTGCCCGTTCTCGCTCACACACAGAGCAGAGTCAGCGTCCGGCCCTGACACCAGCGCCCAGCTATGGGACCTCATCAACACCGCGCGCCTTCTGGAGGGACTGGGTGGAAAAAAAAAGTCCTTTTTTAAAAAAGGAGAAATAAAAACAGGATTACTTAATTTCACTTGGGATATAGATGCAGCATGACATGCAGTCTCAGTGCAAAACAGAGACAGATGGAAAACAAATGTTTCCATCCTTCTGTGAAGTGGAAAACAAAAGCCTTACTATTGCTCTAACCTGCAGCACCTGCAGCCAAGGCAGAGTCCTCTGTCTCTGAACCCGCGGCTGCAGCACAGAAAGAAACGTGGACGACTCCATGATGACTAAGGGCGCCCCGGTCATCCCCGGACAGGCTGTCCTGTCGGGCCACCTGCCACCTTCCACACACAGCAGTTGGGGCGGCTGCTGGTATTTACTGCCTGGGTCGCCAGCCAGGTGACGGTTACATTGGCCTGTGTTGCTGACCCAGTGCGGATTACTCAGACTGCATCCAGGTCACCGAGCTAGCCCTGGTCCCAGGGGCCTCAGCCTTCTAAGGGCCACACCACACAGAGGGAGCCCTGGCCCACTGGGCATTTAAAGCAACAGGTGAGGGAAGGCCACGCAGGTTACACGTGTCACCACCTGGGCGCGGGAAGGGACCGCAGCAGGGGACGGCCAGGCAGGCGGAAGCTTTCTAGGCGGTGTTAGTGGTGTTAGAACATGCCAGGCCGGATGCTGGTCAGCAGTAGCCCTTACCACTGAAATTTATCAAGTGGGTGTAGAAGAATGACTCTCGATGAAATTTTTCTATGTCCAATATGGTGGGCCCCTCCAGGCTACTTCTCAAGGTTTTCTTGGAACCACTTTTGTCTGCTATGAGGGACTCTAGCATGGTTCTCACCATGTAAAGCTGCGTTATCCAAGGAAACACCGGCGGGGGAGAAAAATACACATGGCACATTAGTTACACAAACGCAGGTCAACCAGAGAGGGGCTGCCCCGCGGCCACCGCGCCTCCTCACGGGGCGGCGCCCATCGGAGCGGCTGGGTCGCTGCGGCTGGGGACCAAGAACTCGGAGCAGAGCGGTTCACGTCGTGCCGCAAACGTCAACAAGAAAAACAAACAGTAGCTTACCACCGAAGGTTAAAAGAGGCGGATAGGTGTAGGACTGCCTCAGAAACGCGTTAACCACATGCAAGAGCCTTTCCGCGCCCACAGACTTGAGCTGCCTGAGCAGCTCGGCGGAGCGCAAGGACTCCGCCATGGTGCGCACCAGGTAGAGCTAGAC